CATTTCTATGCCGCCCCCATTGCAACAAAGCCTTGGGGCGGCTCACAAAGAATACATAAATACATACATAAATAATGATAATATAACAATTAAAAAAAGCCATTTAAAAACCCCCGGTGCATTCTCAGCTAAAATTTTTTAAAATCCTAATTAATTCAATAATTTAACAATTAAAATAAGTTTTAAATAAAAAGGTCTTAGCCTGGCGCTGAAAAACAAATAACGACGGTGCCAGGCGGACCTCTCTGGGGAGCGCATTCCATAGATGCGCAGTTCATACTGCTCTGTGGTATATCCTAGAGACGAGAGTGATGAAACAAAATGGGTGACAGTGTGGGAGTAGGAGGAGGAAAACTAATGGATGCAATCAAACACTTGTGTGTGACCATAATCAAGTATATTTAGGGGCAGCGAGGGCAGCAAGGAAACAACTTTTTTCTGCCTCTATTCAGTCTTCTACCTGCTGCCAAACAAAGCTTTTCAGGTTTGTTCAGAGCCTACTATATGTTGACCCTAATGACACTGTAGATCTGTCTGAGGCCTGCTGTCACATGCTTGCTAGGCACTTCCAAGACAAAGTCTCTTGCATCTGCCAGGCCCTAGACTTCATTTATAGCAGTTCAAGCAGGTGATTTACCCAGAGCACAATCTGGTCCAGTTTCATTGGATGGGTTCTAGTAGGTACAGCTTGATGATGTTGACAGGATGTTCGGACAAGCTTATGCAACCACCTCCTTACTCCTCATTAGCTTAGAGGGGGTTTTGTCCCTCTTGACTAATAAAAATCAGCAGAGAGGGAAAAGCTGGCTGGGCCAGGGAAGTAATTAATGACTCCTTATAAGAGGTAATGGTCCCAGGCCATCTGAAAGAGATGGTGGTAAGCCCACTCACAGCATAGCATAACATCATAGAACTGAAAGGGGCCTAGAAGGCCATCAGGTCCAGCATCCTGCTGATCAATGCAGGACTAAAATCTCCCATTCTGATTCTAGCCAGGGCTGACCCTGCTTAGCTTCCATGATTAGGCAGGATCAGGCACTTCAGGCTTTATGGAAGAGTTTAACAACTTTAGGAAGCTCCCTTCTTGGGCTAGGTCCTTGAGTGGGTGGTGGCCAGCCAGGTCCAGAAGCTCTTGGATGAGTCTCATTATCTGGACCCATTTTAGTTAGGGCTCAGGCTGGATTTTGGCACAGAAACCTTTTTGGTCATGCTGTAAGAAGACCTGGGTTGGAAGAGAAATGGGAATGTGATCCTACTGATACTCCTTTTCCTCTCAATATATCCTTACAACAAGCCTGTGAGGTAGGCTAGGCTGAGCCAATATTTGGCCCAAAGTCACCCAGTCAAGTTTCACGGTCAAGTGAGGACTAAAATCTGGATCTCCCAGGCCTGTTCTCCAGTCCAACATTCTCATTAGTACACCATTTTATCTTTGCGATCTCCCTGTGGGGGAGACGAGGTAACCCTAGTGAGATGTGATGACTATCCCAAAATCACAGTTTTATAGCAGAGAGGGATGACCGAATCCAGCAAACTATCTATATCCAGCAAACTGTCTATCTATATTGGCTGTAAATAGTAGAGTAAGTTAGACTTAAACAACATTTTAAAAATCTTTCCTTACCTCTTATCACATGTGGGAGGGTTGAGGGGACCACATGGGTCATATACTTGGTCTGCAGGACAGTTGTATGCTGTAAGTAGCAAAAGAAATGAAGCAATGTAACATTGTGAAGATATATTTCTTTATACATAACATTTACACTTAGTTTTTCTATGATCTTTCCCTTATTTTATTTATTTATTTATTTTATTTATTAAAACATTTCTATGCCGCCCCATTCGCCGAAGCCTCCTTTTCTTTTCTCCATGATCACCAAATGATTAACTACAAGGGGAAAGCAGGTCTGTCAGTGTTCATCTGTATGTTCTAATTCCTATACATTTGCTTCTATATGAAGAAGAAGTAAATGGAGCAGCAGCAGAAATGCAACAAAAATCCCACGCAGGGAAAACCACAGGAAAAAGTGTTAGTTGACATAGTGATGTGTGAGGAATCCATTCTGGAGGTGGGAATTCCCTGGGCTCAGCTCTCCAAACTCTCTCCAGCCTGCTCACAGCTACGCATCCAACTTCCTGGTGAGAGCACCGAGCTTTCACGCAGGTGCCTGCCAGGTAGCAAGCCCATGCAAATGCTTGCAAGTGATGTTCCTCTTTCAGGCACGTGACTTGCAGGCTTCGTGTGTGCCGGATGTACAGTTGAGGAAGGTTGCCAGTTGCACAACTGGGCTTCTGCAGGTGTTCACAGACTTCATCTCAGCTTGGCTTGCTTCCTAAGCAAGGGCTAAGCATGAGAAGAAGTCCAAAGTACAGGAGAGAGCCTGATCCCAGGGAGGATCTTCACATTTCTAAGGTGACATACTGCTTTGTTGTGCATGTGGCTTATTTTTATTAAATGTGCTTCCTACACTGATGGAGCATGTCTGCAATTATGGAGAAACGGCTTCCCTTTTAGAGGAACCAGAAGACTCTTCCAGAGCTCCAGATATCATTTGCATAGAGAAAGCCCTCACTGAATTCTTTCTTGAAAGGTAATTGGCCAGGTTGCCACCACTTTGCAACCAAAAATGAGAGTAAAAGAAAAATCTTCTTCCTGTTATTTGCATATTTTATTGACTGAACACTTAATTTGCAGATGCAAGATCTTTCACAAATTGTCCCTCTGATACTTACGGCAAGTGCCGTTGATCTTTGCTCTCCAGTCGATACAAACGCCTGCAGAAGCACAGAGAGATGCATATGCCTCCAAAGCAGAACACTGCATAGAAATATTTTTGATGTGACAAGCATCAAACTCGCACCCTTGGAAGTATGGCACTGGAGAGATGATCTTATGGCACTCCTTGAAGATGCTGTAAAGGTACCAGAAACATGTGAAAATACATTTTGTGAAAAAGTCTACAGTCTCCATTTCATTTGAGGGGCATTTCCTTGGGATTGGTGGGATATTTTAAATGGATTCAAAGTGAAAGGAAGAGACTTGGGGTTGGAAGACTGGACATCCTCAGAACTGAGAGTTCTCTGAGTTGAGTGCTCATGGTGCAGAATACCACTAGAGAAAAGGGCAGCTTCTACTAACTTAAAATTTAGCCATTTGAAAAAAATGTCTTGACAGGCATGCTAAAGAATGTTGAAATGTATTCAGTTGTGCTCCAACCCCACAGAAGTCTCTTCAGTCAAGCTGAGCCTTCAGTCAATGGAAGAGGGAAAAAGCAATTTTCACAGATTCTTCCTTAGCTCTGCAGCCCTCTGCTCCAAATTGCTGGAGTTATTAATGGCTTTTTCCTTCTTGCGAGGAACTGAAGACAGGTTGCATGGTTCTCCTTCCCTCCATTTTATCCTCCCAATATCTGATGAGGGAGATTAGGCTGACAGGGGCCTGTCCATGGTCAGCCACGAGCTTCAAGGTTGAGTGGGGAACAAAGTGGGGATCTAGGATCTCCTAAATCCCAGTCCAGTACTCTAGCCATCAAACCTCACTGGGTGTCATTTGCTCCAGATGGGTGGGGGAGCACTTGGAGCAGTACAAAAAGTAGAACCGGGGAATGCAGGATTGCCTCCCCACCCCTTTCATTCAAGGAACTTTTGCATGAGTAGAGCTTTCCTTGAGCTTTCCATTAGTAGAGGGACATAACTAGATACAACCAAGGATAATATGCAAGAGTCTAGGGGAAAATTGACTGTTCTGTGGTTACGTTCTACCACATTTTGTCGTAATGACAACAAAAATATCTCAGTAATAGCATTAGTAAAAAGACTTCTGTAATATACCCAATTTCTGACTTTCTCCCTCCCTCCCTTTTGTGCCTTTGGGTTTGATAGGCAAATCTGAAGAAATGAGAAGCTAAATAGGTTATCCCCTCAACATACCCCATGCATTGGACTGAAGACCTTTTGCACTAGAGGTTAAAGTGTTGACAATGTGAACTTGTGCTTTCATGGTGTGCAGTCCTATAGGGTTTACTTCAAGGAAATGTGCATAGGATTGCAATTTTGAACTCCCTTATACTGATAGCATAGAATTTCCAGCCCCAGTTGAGCTGTGCAACTTGGATTCTACTTTATGCAGCACCTCGCACTGATTACCATATTAGGACTAAACTTTTCAATTAAAAGCTGCAGCAGCAGCAGCAGCAACACAATTTTCTTCTTCACTTTTACAGGATACCACTATTATTATAGTCTCTCTTACTAGCTTGTAAGTGTCTTGCAGAGAGGGTGAACTGGACATGGTTCTGGACTTGGTGTGGGTATTGGTGACAGTGTTGGTGGTGGTCCTGAGCAGTAGTCTTTCTTGTCATCAGGAACTCTCCAAGCTGGAGCCATGTGGGAACAACTAGTTGTCTTGCCATTTGGCAAGCGGCAGTCATCTCTTTTGTTGTTTGTGCATGTACCTAGGTGAAACAAAATGAAATCAGAACACAAGCAAGAGGCTTTTGCATCGATGACAAATTACGCCATGTTTTACATTCATAATCACTTGAATCCAGAGCCTGTTCACAATTTTATTGAGAGATTGAAGAAATAACCTCTTTTCTTTGGAAGCCAAAGGCAGATTGATCAGCTGTTATGCCTTTCAAATTCTGTTTCTATGCCCAGAATATCTAGTATCCAGGTTATGGATGAAAAATAATAGATGGAATTTTCTGAAGGTGCACCAAAAAGGTGCCCTTTTTGAAAATAACAGAAGTGAAAATGCATTGAAAAATACTGCTTTGGCTCAGTTTTAATTTGGCGTTCGATTGCAAGGAGCGACCCACATGTTGATGGAACAACATGGGATTTGAAGGGATGAAAGCCTCATTCTTACCACATTGTCCTTCAGTATTGTTGCCAAATTTGCTATATGGAAGCTGTATTGAGAAGATCATTCCACTGAAGGTGATGACAATCTTAAGTTCAGCAATCTCAAACACCATATTGATGCCAGTCATGGAGACAGAAATGCCGTCTTTCTGGAAACCTGGACTGACAACCTTATCGTTGAAGTAGATCTGCATATGGGATTGATTTCACATCAGTGAAGGATTCTGCATGATTCAGTGTGCTTTTTACTAATCTTTTAAGCAATTTTAATACACATTTAGAGAGTGATCTGATGGCTACTGGACATCATCTGGAGCTTCAGATTCCCAGATCCTGGGTCAGAGACAGACCACCAACCTTGGAGCTGGAAATCTGTGCTCTAGACTCTCTCTCTGTCCCAGCATTGTGGAAAGCACCATGCCAGCTTCCTCTTTGAGGTCAGGATCTCAACCCCAGAAAGCAGGTTAAGCATTCTGGTGATCACAGGAAGGCAATAGATTGCACAGGACAGAATATGATGTATTCAGTCCTCTTTGTAGCCTCTTTCTCTCTCCCTCCAAAATACCCGAAGCTACCTGAAACTGGAGGAAGTGTAAGGAGGCAAAGATTGTCCCTGCTCCTCTTCCTCTTGTGCACTGCATGATCGTTAGCCTCTGGACTTGGAGGCTGATTATACTCTTGATTGGATTTCACCCTTTATTTATTTAGAAATGTATATCCTGCTTTCTTTATAAATGTGAACATAAAGCACATGCGTTTAATGTACATTTGAAGTAATTCTCAGTGCCCATTTTCCATTCCAGAGAGTCCTCTGATCTCCCAGGCTATCTCTTAGAGAGGCATCAGAGACATATTAGGATGGGTGAGACTAAAAATCCTTTTGGATTGCAGTTGTGCTATTTAATATGTACAGTGTTGTTTCTAACATCTGATGTTTGGTTTCTTCACAATATAAGCTGATCACCTTTTATTTGCTTCCTTGTGTCATCAAGCAAAGCAAACAGTATGAGTAATGCATAATTATTATCTTCACTCAGCAGGGGTAGCCTTTGAAAGCTCTTAGACATACCTAATAGTTCTCTTCTGAGTATGGACCTTCTCTCTTGTCTTCTTTTACTCCCTAATGTAAACTTTTTTGGCTCCTTCAGCGTTTCTCAGTCCTGCATATATGGGGTGGAATCCCAAGATCCACCTACAGATGGGCACTTTCTTGCCCATACTCTTTTCTTCCTTGTAGTCACAAGGATGTCTTTGCCCATTTTTGCACAAACATTTCCTTCTCCCTCAGCCTCCTGCACCACAGTCCATCCTACTTAGCAGAGCCCCTGACCATTGGAGGAACATTTTTAGGAATCTCTGGGGGCTGGCAGGGAGAAGAGGGGGCAGCAAATTCTATTTTTATTCACCCTCTTCCAGAACTCTGGATCCAGCCCACTGATTCTGATAGAAATTAGTACATGAGCAGCACAATCCTGAACATGTCTTTCCAAAAGTAAGCCCGACACTGTTTGAAGGAACTTATTCCCAGTTAAGTGGGTATAGAATTGTAGCCTTAGAGATGCATTTCAAACATTTGACATAAAGTTTACCTTGTTAGCTTCCACTCCATTGAAGCGCTGGCGAGTTAGCACTACTTTTGAAGACTTGTAGTAAATAATAATAGATTGAGGACAGGAAAGTTTATCTTCTGAATCACAAAAGTAATTATCAATAAGAACTCTGAAGTTGTCATATTTAGGTATAATCTGCTGCACTAGCACATAAGTGCAGTTGTCCAGGAAGGTGTAGTAGGTTCCATCAAAAGTGATATAGTGAGGATCACCCCAGCCACTACAAACACCTGCAAAATTAGGGAAAAACACACAAACATTCTGGTTAGAAGAACTTAGACTAGACCTAAAGGTTGTATTTAACAATGAATCAAATAATTTGTGGGTGCAGTAGGAAAAGCCAATAGGTACATGATGTTACTGGCACAAGTGCCACTATAAAGATTCATTTTCACTTACATTCACATTCATAGTGGTAACAACAGCCATCTTCACTATACACTTTTATTGGGGGGTACCCATTTTCACAAACAAGAGGCTGCACAGGTTCACACTGCACTTTGTTTACAGTAATGGTGTTGTTTCCCACACAGGTTTTTTTCATGCAATCTGTTGTCCATGTCTCTCCTTCCTGCAAAAGGAGAATGTGCTTTTGTCATTGAAACATATAATCAGGCTTGATTCAGCTTTCAATACATTTTTAGTTCCATTAGAATATAACAGATGCATTACAACTATAAGGATGAAGGAGTTGCATCCTACTAAAAGGCACTTGGAATTCTGGTCCCTGTTTATACATGCTGTACATGTTATAGTCTATTAAGGACACAGTCTTATCTCCCCATTCCCAGATGCAGGTACATTTCCGAACTCAGAAGCTTGCAGGCATCCTGTGGTAGGCGTGAGGCATGGGAGTAGCACTGCCACCATGCATTTTATCTATGCAGCCATTTTTAGCTGTAGGGGAGGGGAGGGGGCAGTAGGAATGGGCATAGTTAGAAAGTGCCTGCCTCCACCCCTCTCCTTCCCGCAGTATGCCGCTTTCCCCCTCTTTGAGGCACATTTCCAATCACAGGGAGGGAGCCAGCACACTCCTTTCTGAACTGGCTGGGAGGGGGCAGAGGGCAGACTTAGCATTAGAGTCTGGGATTCTGAAGTGTGGGGTATGAGTGGAATGGGGGCATGAGTCACCTTGCATCAGATGTCCAAGCCCACCATGAGGTGGCCTGCCCTGCTGCTCAACCATGGGGAGGGAGGGACATAGAGAAGCATCCCTCTTCCACTCAGTGAACTGTCTGCTGTGCGGAGGGGATGTGGCTGCTTGTCTGCGTCTTCACCCACTGCAACGGGAGGTAACAGGGAGAAATGCCCCATTCCAACCTGTCCCCTACCCTTGCTTGCTTTGGCATGCTTGGCTGGGCTTCCTCTTGAGGAGACCCAACCAAATGCACCTCCATCCCTGGGCATGGCTGCCTTGCAGAGTGCTACTTCCTGAGGTCTTGAGCAGGATCTGAGTGGATGGCGTATGTTGTGCCCAAGGTGTCTGCTCCTCCCGATGCAAGGGAAAAGCAGGAGTGTGTGCTGGCTGTCACTTTGCCCTTTGCCAGCTGGCCTCAGCTAGAGTGCCTTGGCCAGAGCAAGACTGCTTTCTGGCTGCTCAGGCAAAGGGGCTCTCTAGCCTTTTGGCCTGGCCATGGCATACTGCATCATCCATGTTCAGATGACACGCTAAGCCACAGAGGCTTTCCTTACCTTCTGCTATAATCCATGGATAGTTGCATGGTAAATCATGTCCCAGGAAGCAGGAAGGGTTGAGGCATTGCACTAAGCCAGCCCATGCTGCTTTATTGTGTCATGCAAACCAGTCACTGTCTGATTTAAACCTATACATCTCCCCTGCCCCTATTCCACCCCTTTCCCTTTCCTTCTACAATACAAAAATAGTGTGTGAGGAGAGGAAAAATATTGTCCTTTACCAACAGGGGAACTTAAATGAACAGCCACACATGAAAATGATTATAGCCTAAGAACTAATTGTTGGGAAAGGTGCAAACATTCTCATCAGAAAGAGTCATTACATGACATTACACTACTGCCCAATACTCAAAGCTCTCTGGGCAGTTCACAGCATGCTAAAGCACACAATGCAACCCTTAATGTGCAAGAATGTAAACAGTTTACATTTTAATTTTAATTAAACAATTAATTAAATTAATTAATTTAATTAAACAAATTTAACAATGAAACTACGAGGACTTGACAAAAAACTAGAAGGCCCCATCATTTGCCATCAAATTCCTGGGAGTAGAGGAAAGTCCTAACCTAACTGGGCACTGAAAAGATGCCAGTGTTGGCACCAGACTGGCCTCACTGGGGAGACTGTTCCATATCACCCTTGTTGCTGTCCTTCAAGCCTCTTTTGGAGGAGGCCCTCTGATTTTATTTTCTGTTCCTCAAGTTCAAAGTGATCCTTGGTGGCAGCAGGACCACTAAACACCCTTTTGCCACTGCTTGTACCTCAGTTTGTAAACGGAAAAGCATGGAAAATCCCTCAGCTATCACTTTAGAACAATAAACATCACGAGTGCTCTTCCATTGGAATGGCTGATAACCCTAATCCCACCCAGACCTTTGTACCTGCTCCTAGTGCTTGGGAGGGGGTTGACCCCACCCTAGCCAAATGCAGAACTTTGGATTTGGGTTGATTCTTCAGCCCAGCTGTCACTCCACTCATATTGAAATCCAAGCCGCATAGTCATGACACTCTCTGCTTTGCAGGATGACAGCCCAGAACCTGTCAGCAGAGTTTCTCTGTAACTGCTTAGTAAATTATTCCTAAAATAGCAAACCCCAACTGCATCTAGTGCTAAGTTTCATTTCATAGGGATGAAGAATACACTTAAAAAAGAAAATCCCCATTATAAACCATCAAATGCCTGGGAGTAGGGTTCTGACCTGGCAACAAAAATGTTAATGCTAGGCAGATGTCACTGGGAAGAACATTCCACCTGTTGCTATGCACATTTTAGGACTGGGGATTCATAATGGACAGGGGAAGCTACTACCTTCCTCCTCACAGAAATTCAAGTTCCTATATCTTGTAACATCATCCACCCCACCAGAGCAAACATGTAATGAGAAAGGTAGGCTGAAACACTCTCCTTGTAAGTAACAAGTTTGCAAGCTGCTACTACCATCTCCAAAGTCAGATAAAAAGAAAAATCTACCTTTCGTGGAGGATTAGCTTCAGGACAGCCATGTGCTGGAGTAGTGCCAACAGCTGTGGTAGTGGGAGTTGTAATTACAACAGATGGAGTTGAAGTTGGTTTTGGTGTTGTTGATCTACATGGGCCTTTCAATCTTTCAACAGAACAAGTTCTATCACAAATAGCATAGAAATAGCAACCATCGCTGTCTGTTCGGTTGTAAATAATTTCACCTATCAAAAACCATAATCATCATCAAAAACATGAATAGCATTAGGGTAAAATGCAATAAAAATACAAAAAAGGAGTAACTCTGACCTGTGTCTATCATTAAACAAGTAGAAATATATACATCTCACAAAAACATGCTCCACAAATCTCAAAACGAAAGCAAACAAAAGATGCAGAAGCATGCACTCCAACCCATGATACACTAGAAAAGGATATGATAACCCCAAACAATCCTTCAGCCAACACGTCTGCATGGGACATGCTAGAAATCATGCCAATTTTTCCTCTAAACACAAGCATAGGCTTGCACATAAAATCATGCAAAATTACACAACATCTTGGGAAAACTAATGCAAATGGAGAGCAACTAGGATTAAAATAAATACATACCAGGCTTGTAAATGGTTTGTCCAATTAAGCAGAAGCAAGGGGTTGTGCTGCTTCCTAAAGTAGCTGGGGTTGTTGTTTGGGTAACTATAGATGAAGCTGTAGTTTCTGATGCAGTGGTGACGGGAGTCGTGGTGCTGGGCTTGGCAGTGGTGGTGTGTGTCTTGGGTGTGGTTACGCACTCTGGATTCTCCTCACAGCACAACACCCGTATCTCATAATTCAAACACATCTTCACCTTCCCAATTTGATCTGTGTTCTTGCACACCAGCCCAAAGTTGACATTACAGTCGACCACCTGTCCCACTTGGTCTATGCTCAGCCCAGGCTCATTTTCAGCCCTGCACTGGATATTGGTGGGCTTCCCACAGATTTTGCCCCCTGCGGCTCGGATATTATTGTATGTTTCAATGTCACCGCCTTCAGGTCCAGAAGTGGGGAA